GCAAATCTCGATTCTGGCATTCATTTCGTGCTTCTTTTTCCTTTTTCAGAAATAACTTCCACTTTTAACATTTATTACACAATTTAATCTTAATATCATTCATTACACAATACTATTGACACCCATTACACAATTTAGTCTTAATATCTACTAACTCTATTTTTCACACTCGTCGTACTGACGAGATCCAATTATGATAATGGAAAGAAATGTATACACGATTTAATCGACCGAAACATTTCTTACCATTAAAGTAATTCTATTTGAAATTTTATAATTCTCGTCCCTTATCTTCCTTTTTGCTCTTTTTTCATCCGTTGTAAATACGCCTTCCTCTTCCAAACTGTACTGCATCTCCTTTGCGCTGCTTTTGCGTCAGTGCCAGCTGACCGCTTTTCGACAGCTATGACGATTGTTCATTTCCACAAAATGATAAAAAAAAGCAAGATGGTTAAATTTGGATCTGAAAAATTGGCAGTTTTAACACGTAGAACAAGTAGGATTTGTTAATAATTTGCACTTCATAATTCTTCAACTCTTTATAACTTTACATTAGTTACCTTTCTTATTTTCCATACATTTACTTCTAGACACCTACTTACCCTATCCTCATCTTCTGATTGTTCTGTATTTTCTTCATTATCACCTTCTACTTTTCCTACCGTTTTTCTTTCACTTTCCTTTTCACTTATTACTTTTCCATACAATTAACTTATTTACTCTCCCATCTTACCCTTTTAAAAAACTTTACCACAATCGTCGTACTGACGAGGTCCAATTGTGGTAAAGGTAAGAAATGCATACGACTTAATGGACCGAAACATTTCTTGCCTACTTTAATAATTCTTTTCATGTTTTTATCATTCTTTCTTATATCTTTTCTTTAACCTTAAATTAGAATTTTTTGGGACGCCTTTGGCAGTAGTTTTTCAGAGAAGTATGCTGTACAACTTTTACTCATTGCTTTTGATAATGTCCGGCTTTTTTCCTGCAATAGGAAAATACTGGGAATCCTGCTTTTGCCGAAAGCCTACAGCCCCGCTGGGTCACCACAGTTTCGTTACTGATATTACACATCCAAATGCTACTCCACTACGCATGTGCCTCACTTCTCCGTAATCTTTTATTTATGTGCTGGAGAAACGTGTTTTAAAATCTCATAAAATCCGATTTCCATTGCGTTGTGTCTTCGTTTTTCAGCTGCTTTGAGTGATTGTTAAACATCGTGGGATTCACATTCATACTGCCACAATTTTCTGGCACCCCAATTTGTTTTGCAGAGAAAAATTCATTGAAATTTTTGTGGTTGTTCAATCGGGTTACATTCTTATTACATTATTATTTTTTTTAAATTTATCATTGTTATTCTCGTAAACATGTCGGGGGAGGAAAGGGGGAAAACGGGGAGGATATTAACTAGAGGTATGCAACTGAGGTTCAAAAAGCGTGGCATGCACCTGTCACGCAGGAGCATGGAATTCTCACGCCGATGGTCCGTGTGATCTTTGTATTCTTGGCATTCAAGTGTGAATGCTTACATTTTACATTGTAATATTAGCAGGATGCGAAGAATATCCATATTTTGAGTAACTGATATTATAAAATTCCAGCTAAGATTTAGTTCCCGTACGTTAAACTC